TTTACTGGTTATTCCAGGATTACATCATTGAATCAGTGGCAGAAAAGCAGTAGTGCATTAAATACTCACTACAGCCTAGTTAGGGTGATGCATATACTCACCCATTCCAGGACATTTCTGTCCCAGGACAAACAGGCATAACTTGTCCAGGGACAAATACAAATGTCTGCTCCTAGCTTATATTAAAATGATTAAATGGTTTTAAATAGTCATGCTATATTTTATTACACATTTAAAATGTATAATATGGGCAGTTTAATCTGAAAAAGTGGAGGTACACTTCTTTTTGGCTGATTTTTAACTGGGCTATAGTATACACCGTAATAAAATTAAGTTTTCTTCTTAAAAACACCCAAGATAGAAGTTAGGAACAGAACAAGTTTCCAACAATCTTAGAGAATTTGCTTCACAGAACTGGTTCCTGCATGTCTTACCTTAACAGCAAATAAATCACTTTCCAAGCTGTGACCAATTAAAATAGTAGCTGCACTGAACAAGTTTAACAAGATGGCCTGTACATCCCGAATAGTTGTTGTAGTGTTCTTCAGATCTTCTTCTGTGACTCCAGAAAATCTCAGATTAAAACACAAACAAGCAAATCTCAATAAAGTGAGAAAATGTACAACATATCCAATTCAAAAGCATGTGAACAGCTAAGATTATTCAAGTCAGGTTTGGAAGCAGTGTACATTCGTTTCAGACATACAAACTGATTTTTTTCTTTCCCTTTCTTCAGGGATGAGTTCCACAGAAGAGGCATAACTAATCAGGGGCTGTACCCTAAGCAGCAGCAACAGCAGCAGCAAGGGTTGGGCTGGCTGCAGCTGTGGCTGCCCTTCTTGGACCCCCAAATGGGCATCTGGGGCTGCTGCCTTGGTCATCCATGCTTCATTATGTTACTGTGCCACAGTAAAAGTGTAGAGACCTGGGTTTCAGATCACCTATTGAGGACAGCTGACTCTAGCTGGTTCTCACGAGCCCGAGACTGATCGACTAAAGAAGTGAGCACATAAGCACTGTGACAGAAAGAGGTCAGAAGAGTCAAGTTCTGAGCCACTTCCTCTTCTTTATGGTGAAGCAGCAGCTAAAAAAAACTAAAGGCCTTGAAACTTATGCCCTGCCCAAACACCTACTGCTTCCTCAGCAAAAGGAGTAACCAAGAATGAGTTGCATGAAGTGGGAGAGCATGAAAGCCAAATTATTTGTATCTAGAGTATATACCTCTTGCCCAAGTGATAGCTACAGTGGCTATTAGTACAGGCATCTTATCAAGACTTCTGTACATTCTAAAATACTGCATACAGTTTAACAAGAACGATGTCCAAAATGGCACTATACAAGTCAGTATCTATAATTTTTTTTTTAAATAAGAGCTAGGTGTGAGAGAGCAACTCACCCATTTAGGACATCTATAGATGAGGTTTTACCAACTTAATAGCTTAACCTTTTTTCTGCACTGAAATACCCCTCCAAATGGCCAGGAAAAAAAAACCCTCTTGGAAGTATAGAGTGCTGAAGTGATGTTGTAACTGATTGTCTGAGAAATTCAGGCAGTAGGAATTTGTCAATGGTATCTCTCAGACCAACTGCATAGTTGGGATAAACTGAGAGACCCAAGGAAGAGTATTGCGATATCCAGAAACTTGCCAAAAGTATCCCAACCAATAAAGAGAAAAATCGGTCACAAGAATTCTTGTCTTTCAAGACAGAAGATGCCTACTTAAGCTATAAAGCTCTTAACGTCAGGGTGCATCTTTTTGATCTGTATTTCTATAGTGCCTGGGAATAATGTGGTGGCATGATTGGGACTCTTCAGCATCATATAGATACACATTAACGTAGAAGACGGTCTCAAAAAAAGTTCATTCAACTATAGTCAGTCTTAAATCATAAAAATTGCACAACTTTTAAAAAAAGAATAATGATATTTTCAAATATATGGATACCTTGTGTTGTAGTCTATGATGTCATTATCAGGTTTAACAAATGTATTATAGGCAACCTGTAGGTTGGGATCAACAACTGTCACTCTAGTAAGCTCCAGGCCTTGTGTTGTGTAACACTAAGAAAAACAAATACCACAAGTGGTAAAGAAAGATTCAACATTACTGTTTTTTGATCTTTTTATATGGATTGCTGGCATGAAGGACCACATAGGCACAACAGGTCCAAGTGGTTTGAGTTTCAGTGGCTCCTGAAAGAGTACCATGACAGGGGGCAATGAAGGATGCTCTAAAATCAGTGGTGTTCAATTTGTGGTCCATGGACCCCTGGAAATCTGCAAACTATATTTAAGGGGTCCCCAAAACTTGACTATTATCAGTCAAAAGTATGCGACTTCCCATTCAAAGGGGTCTGTGCTTCTATTCAGTTTTTTAGTGGCCCACAAATAAAAAAAGGTTGAAAAGCATTGCTCTAAATATTAAGAGTTATTCCTGTATACTATAGTAAAAGTTATTAAAAATAAAAGCAAAATAGGCTTAAGTCTCTGTACAAAAGCTCCGTTTTTGCCTCCTTTAGGGGTGGGAGGAAGGAAGAGACAAATTGACAGCATATGACTTTGGCAAATCAGGCAGTATGCTTCCCTCTGTTGGAGCCTATAGTAGCAGCTATTCCTCAGTTCGAACATAGTGGAACAAAGGCTATTGATCATACTGTCCGTCCTTTCTGACCATTATATTTAGTAGCAAGTATACCCCAGAGCAGGGCTGATTTTCTCCATCAAAGGAAAAAAAAGCAAACTAATAAGAAAGTTCCTTATTATTTATAAAATTTAAAAAAAGTAAGGCTCTGATGTTGTAAAAGCAGGTAACTTTTAGGTAGCAACCCTCAGTTTACTGTGTTCTGTAGAAGAGAATACAAGCCAACTCTTAGCCTAAATATCTTGGTGGTAGAATGGGTTCTCACAATTTTCGCAGCAGTCAATTTACAGCATTTCCTATGAACCTACACCCATCTTGAAATTAAGTTCAAAATACAAAAGAGTTAACCATACCATCTCACAGTCCAGTGCATACACCCCATGGTTCCCATCAGGTGGAGGTGGTTTGATAAAGGTCTTCATAAAGCCTTCTAGGTTTTCTTTTCGCCCATCACGGACATGGAGCTGTAAAATTCCCAGTAGTGTTAAAAACTGGGAATTATAGTATTGTATCCAAATGGCTGGGTGCTTCAGTTAAAAAAAAAAAAGCAACACACAATAAAAGAGCCTACCAAAAACAATTTTGGTAAACAAAACAAAGGAAGACTATTTATTAAGTATTGTCCATGCAACCTACTACATCTAGTATAAAAACAATATTCTTCTATAGAACCTCCTATTTGACAAACTCATTTTCCAAAAATGTATTAAAATAACTAAATCCATAGAATAACTTGTAACTATTTTCATGAAAGCAACAGTCTGTTACAGGGTTGTTATATGATCATTACTAGAAAGTTAGGCAAGGCCTTGAGACACTGCATGTTAAAGTATGATCCAATACCATAAACTACTGCAAAACCATGAGAGGCCCCATCACAGAACGTTCCTACCTTTGCAACTTGGCATCCAGGAGACCCCACCACTCCTTCACAACAACTGTAGCGGGATTCCATGCCACCAGGAACTGCCATGCAAGAATTAAAACATTAAAATATTCTATTCTACCAGTCACTAGAAAGTTTTAAATGCTTGTTATTAACTTAAAATGGAAGTAAAAAGCTGCAAACTAAAACATTTCTAACAATGTTGACTTCCTGGCTAGGGACAGACATTCACAAAACCTTAGCCTGAATAGATTCAATCTTTGCAGGTTAATCTAACCTGACTAAGCTGAACTGGTTTGAAACTGGATAGACATTCTCTCTGAATTGAGAAAGTGCAGGCACATGCCTGCACTGGCTCAGGCTAGAAGCTGGGGGGCATGACAGCAGCCCTCCCTTTCCTTCAGCAGGGAAGTGAGCTGAGGGGGGGTTGGCCAGGCCCTGGCAGGACTCTGGTTTGTGAGGTCTGCCTGCACAGTTCCAAGCTTTTCTCCACTGGCTGCTCAAGGGGTGGGAGTGTTGTCAGCCCCCAGCTAGCACTCTGAGGCAAGGGGGTGGGAAGATGTACAGCGCATGCATCTGTTGAGGGCACTGAGCTTTTTAAATCTCCCTCCCTGCTTCTTTATACCATCTGTAGCAAGCTGACAGGCGAGCAAGATAGCCAAGAGCCAATAGGAGTCTTTATCATCTGATTAACAGAGCAATGGCCTCTCTCCATTAGTTCAAATTTCTTAAACAGCTTACTGGCTGATCTGTCAATTAGCTCCAAAAGCCCTAAGCAGTCATTGTTCCGTCTGCCTATCCCAGTGAAATTGGAGAGGCACCTCTCTGTATTAGCTAGCATACCACATGCTGGCTACGGTCCCTACTGTGGCAGAGGAGAAAGGGATCCCTGCTTAAGCAGCAAGTGGGGGTGGGGGGCACAGGAAAGCCAGCAGACCCTGCTGTGTCTGCAAGTTTGTGCCAACCTCCAGCTAGGGAGCAGAGGGGAGGGCCCAGTTCTGCTGTGGACCAGAGAGCCCCACCCAGCCCAAAGAGCATGCCAGAAGAGTCCAATTTATCTTAAGCCAGAAAGGGGTTTGGGATAAGTCAGTCTGAGCCAATTCAATTAAGTCCAATACTACATTCTACCAGATTTCTCTCAAACCAGTTTCATCCATTTTGAAACTGGTTTATGTGCACTGAACACCTGTTCTGTTACAGGTTTAAACTAGTTTCTGATCACTTAAATTGGTTTGTATGTAATATCTGTCCCTAGCCCTTATGATCAGTTTTGGGCACATGATAGAAGGTTTAATAAATTTTAATTTCTACATTGCTATCTACAAAAAGCCTACTTACAGCATTTTAAAGTTGACAGATCATGGAATGGCAACAGGTAAGCTTCTTATGAAGTCTTAAGTCTGCAGCCTTGTACATTCCGACTTGCTATACATACATTATAGTAGCTCTTAACTTTGGGAGTTTCACTCCCAAACTGCATTACTTAAGTTAGTAGAATATTTCATAAAATAGTATTTAAAACTACTCAATTAAATGGGTCACTACCAGCTCCCCCTATAATGACACTGTACTGAAGCCAACTTTCTCTATTCCAGGGAAAACATTAAAGCGGCAGCTGGATTTTTTCCTCCAAATAGGAGAATTCAGAAGAACATAGTAGGACTCCATTCCATTTTGACAGAACAGCATTTCATTTTGATTCAAAACTGCTGTTCTGTTTCATTTCATTAGAACAGTTTTGCTGTTTCAATGTTTTGTCCATATGCTATAAATGGGGAAGCTCAAAACAGCATATAAAACTTTGTCATTTCTGGCCTGATTTGGATGAAACCTGCAGGAATGGTAGCCCCTTCTGAGGGCATGAAGCCTGCCAAGTTTCAAGGAGATAGGTGTAGGGGTTTCAGGGAAAGTGCACCTCTGGCTGCTGACAGGCAAAACTCATGACATAAGTGCTTGTGGGATGGCATCCGTCTTGGGGCACAGGGCAGGTGACAGCTGCAGGCCTGCTATGACCACGAAGCCTGCCAGCTGTCAAGGAGATTAGGTGCAGGGGGAGTCTGGATTCTGGGGCTTTGCACCTCTGGCTACTGACAGGCAGAACTCATGACATGGGTAGGTGACACTGTGCATGTTAAGGTGCACCCTCACTCAACTAATATCAAGGCAGAAAGCAGGGCAGTTCAAACAATGCTGCCTTTTATGCAGGTTTTCCATCCTTCCCCCAGAGCACTGGGATTGGAAGAGACCTCAGATAAGGATTACTGTCATTAGTGACTGTGTAGCTGGCCAACGAGAGCAGTCCTTCACCCCCTCCTTACTTTAGTTTCTGTTTCCTTACAGGCAAGCCGAGCTTGAGCTTCAAAATGTTTCGACTTGCCTCATTTAGTTTCAAAGCTGTTTTGAAGCTCTCCATTTTGAGCTCAAAACGAGTCAAAACAAAACTGCCGGTGACATTTTGCACAGCCCCAGAACATAGCTTCTTTAGGAAGAAAGGTTGATATATTGCCAGGTAGCCACAACCACAGAGAACAGAAGACAGCCCTGGTTTTAACCGACTCCCGGTGAAAGCAAGACTTAAAAAGACTGTAAATAAGGTCAGAACAGTTAATATTCAGTAACTGAAAACAAAGACTTCCCTTTATGGATTGGTAATGGTGGCCTATTACATGTCAACTATACTTGCCTTTATGTCTCTGTACTCTACCAAAATGGTAGTTGCATTCTTCTTTACGAATATGCTTTCCTGAAGAAGTTACAGCATATATTTTTCCACATCTACAGCATGTTCTTTTGCAAGCTGAAACAAAGTATGATAATTTCACGATCAAAGTTCAGCCTTGAAAAATTGTACTTTCCACATGGTCAGCTACGAAGAAAGTATTCAACCTGATGAACTGAATGAATGCCATTTTATTGTTAGAGTAAACAATGAACAGGTAATTACTCTGCTTAAACAAATATACCCTTAGTACTGTTTGCAAGGCTTGTTGAAACTGACAGAAGAGTCCCCCCACCCCAAGGCTACTGGTGCCACCCCAGTGCTGCCCCCAGCCTGCTTACCATCCCCAGGGTAACTTGATGTGTGCCAAAGCACAAATGGAACATGCATTCCCCAGGGACAAGTAGCAGCCTAGTTGTCTCCAGAAACCAAATGTCTACACCAAGGTTTTTCAAAGATACAGATAACATTCTGTTCAAATCCAAGTACTTGGGTCAGTCTTGAAGCTTTCTGGTAGGCAGCAAAGACGTACACAATTCTAGTTCTACTGAAGTCAGTTTGTGAAGTCAGTCATGTTGCTACTGAGGCCCTGATTTCCTTACAAACACTTCCAAAACTAGTGTTGCATTTATCATAATTTAAGCAGTTTTTACTTTAGCAGATTGGAAAATAGGAAGTCCAGTGTAAGAGTGTTCTTTGAAGTTCTATTCTTATTTCTATTGACCTGGATAGGCATTCAGAAATCCTAGTCTCATTTACTCACGGTCAGATGCAGCTGTTTTTGTAACTCCATTCAACATAGCACTGCCAGGCTTTTCAGGATTTGGTTGCGGAAAGTTATTTACATTTAGTTGTTCGTCAGTCAGAATGTAGTCTTTCAGTAGTCTATAGAGAACAATTCCTGTAAGATCTAGTAAAGATGTATAATAGGTTAAGCATATATAGCCAAAATGAACTGTAAACAAGTGTGTCACTTAACCATCTGCATTGTACATTTAAGGTTACTTCAATTGTGGTATTGTTTTGCAGTTTTAAGTTTACTTGATTCACCAGGGATCCTGGTTTCCTCTTTAAAAATCCCAAATTCTCTAGTTTAAAAACCCCAACATTTACTTTTTTGCAATTAAAATGAAAAGCCACTATGTATATATGTATCAATTTCATGCAATGTTTTATTAAAATATTAAGCATATCAAAGCAATTTGGAAGCCTACCAGTGCTTCAATCATAATAAAATACATTCTAAATACTTGTGTATTTTGGACATTTGTTTTTATCGTCATGGAAAAAAAAAGTCAGAGCTCCCCTTGCCCCCTTCACTCACCAGGATGTGGGTCCAATTGCAGATGCATCCCCTGCCATGCTGCTTTGTGGAGCTAAGCAACCCTGATGCCAGTGCGCTGCCCCTGTACATGCCATTGCCCCTCACTCCCAATGCAGTTCCCTATTATCCCCAGTTCTGCTAGTGACTCTCACTCCCAACCTGCAGCTAACTTGTTCCCCCCCAGCTCTGCTAGAGGAGGCCTTGCCAGGTGATGGCTATGGCATTCCCAACCCCAGGCTGGGGCTCCTGTGCTGTGCCAGGTAGCCTGGCCATGGCCTCCCGCTTCAGGGCAGCATCCCCTGGCCACCCTGCCCTTGATAGCACAGGCAGCAGACCCTGGTTCCACCAGCCTGCTCTGGCAGCTCCCCACCACTCCCAAAAAGATGCCCGTACCCTCCTCCTACCACTGGTGGGGCAAGTGCCTTTACGTGGGGCCTGCTGACAACAGCACAGAACTGGGATCACTAGCAGCCCCAGCACCCATATACCTTCTCCCTCCACCCCACCCTCTCAACACATTCCCTGACACCCACAGCCCCCACCCTCCAGATAGTGCCCAAGCCCTGGCCCTCCAACCCCCTGCCACACCAATAGACTTACCTGTATCCCACTGCCAGAGCTGCTCCCACCACCCTGCCTGGCTGTATGCTGGTCACATACATGTACATGGTGTCCCCTGCCTCCAAAAAATCACCCTCCCTCCAGCCCCAAACAGCTACCTGCAGAGTGAAACCCCCTTTAAATGAGAAAATCCACATTTTTCCACAGCAAACAAAGCCCAGATCCCTGTTGACTCATTCACCTTATCTAGTTATAATATCTGACAGCAGCCAAAACAAAAGAACTGCTCAGTTTCAGATATAAAAAATACCTTAAAGTGTTAAATAAATTGTACCTAAATTTGAAGACAAATTGTACTGAAGAGCATTCCCTGTACTAGAAAGTCAGTATGTTCCTTCCAATTGGAAAAGAGAACACACTTATTATTAGCCATATTTTTTAAAGATGTGCTATCTATATGCACATTCCTGTAGTGTATGTGCATGTACTTCAAAAACACTTGGGCTTACATTTTACCCTACAGATATCCTTGGAGAGCATGCACCTTCTGCTCACATCCCACACTGAAAACATAAAAGATGCCTCATCAGTTCTGATGCTGTCTTGGCACTTTTAAAACTTTAAAAGAGTAGCACGCTTCAATACCACTTTTGAGAAGAGTTTAGTGTCCTTCATTACATTCATGAAAAGACACCTTGTACTAAGGTCTTCAATCACAAGCCATGCAAGGTCCAGCTGATACCACAACTTAATCAGTGACTGTCATGTTCACAAACCCTATGAAATTTTAGTGGGGGGGGGGAAGTTCATGGGGTGTCATGCAGATTTTCTGGCATTTGTTGTATTGATATGGTACGTGTAGCCTCCTTGAAAAAGCCCATGTTATGCTCTATCCATTTATGCTGCTTTCATCTCTATATAGGTTATGTTACATAGTCTGTACGTGTCTTTATGATTTTGGGCATGGTTCAAAAGGAACAGAGGGATGCATGCTTAAGAAAGGGAGCAGATAACTGCTAAATATCTCTTGCCATTGTGTTGTTAGGTCAAAAGCTAAACTAGACAGACATTTTTGGGATAGGCACCCAAGTTATTATTTACTTGTAATGGGAAGAACATCTGAATGAAGTGGCAACCAGACGTCCTAGGGAAATAAATCTCTGGAGGATTCCATGACTTGGGAGCAATTTGGACAATGCTGACTGGAGGCAGAGGCAGACTTGAAGGCATTTTATTTCAGAGGCTTCCTGTGTGACAAGCCTGGTCTTCAGATATTTTTCAGGCTTTGGAGGAGGCCTGGTTCGCAGCAGTCAGGGCTGGTAGAATGAGTGGGAAGGCTGATCTCGGAAGACTCTAGGACTCCCCTCAAGGGGCTAGGTGGTAGCCAGATGAGGGAGTAAGAAACATTATTTGTCATTTTGTTCCGTTTCCAAACCAGTGGGCTGTTTTTCTTGTATAATTCCTTTATCCTACATAATAAGTGCTTTTGTTGTCGTTTGTCTCCTTGCTGACTGCCTGTAATGAAGAGTGATCTCTGGGCAACTGATATTCCAGGGGGCCCATTCTCTAAGGAAGAAGGACTTAAAGTCTCTTTTACAACCCAAGTGGAATCCACCTAGAGATTCCCTTGTTGGAGCTGTAAGGGCTGGTATAAGGCCAGTGGAGCTGAGGCTTGAAGAAATAAGGAATTATGCCAGGACAAACCTTAGTCTGTTCCTTGGGACAAGCAGTAAGACAGCCAGGAGAAACTTAAAGGCTCTGGGGGTATACCCCATGAATGGGTCTGTAACCATTATGAAGAGTGAGGAGAGGGGAGAAAAATGGAGTCACACTCAGCTAGAGAAAAAAAAAGTGAGCCATTCAGGCCATGAGAACCTCAAGTACTTCTGAAAATAATTGTCCCTGAAAGAAGTGTGCAAGGGAGGAGGGGAGGGAATGACACACAAGGAAAAGAACATTACCCAGAGAAAGAGAGACTCTAGGGCAAGCATACAGTCTACAACAGATACTACCCTCCAGTCAATGCGACTGAAGGGAAGCTGAGGAATGGGAACTTGCATCACCTTATACACTCGATATGAAAGGCAGTACGCATTCAAGCTGTGAGATTAGCAAGTTCTCTCATCTCAGAAACACTTGAGGTGCATTTGTACCCCAAAAAGGAATGTGGAAAACACCCTGAAGAAAAAAATATTACTGAATTGAAACAAACCATATGTTAGTCATGAGTGGCATTTGTGGGCAACAAAAAAGAAATCTAAGAACTTAAAACCAGAAATTAGGAAAGAAGTGGTTTTCACCCTGAAATAAGGTTAGCCTGTTTTATACAGATATAGAAGGTAAAGTAAGAGCATTCAACAACTATTTTTACCGTTCTTTTCTTCTGACTTTCCGGATCCATTTGCATTGGTAGATCTGCTGCCACTAGCTTGCCCTAAACATAGAAATGTTTAAAAACATTTTTCTAGTTGTATTTGCCAAACTTCAGATTTCCTGTAACCCAAAAGTGTTAAACATAAGGCCTATTGGCCAACTCTGACCCATGGATCTCTAAACAACTCCATACACCGGCCCTGGCCTTACATGGCCTGCCTGTGCTGGTTTTAGGTATCCTGTGCACATTGGGTCAGAACAAGGCTGGACTTGGCACTGCATGCAATAGGTGGTCCAGGGAAAAGATTAGCTGCATGTAGCACCCCAGACCAACCTCCTGTGCTACTTGCAGTGTCAGGTCCATCCTTCACATTACAAGCAGTGCACATCCCATACTGGCCCCACATGAACAGTAAGCTTTGAGGGCAATGCACTTACCATATGGCTAGATGTGGTACCATGGGTACACTCCCCATGAGAATGGTCCTGGTGTGGCCCAACAACCAAGCCATGGGGCCAGATGAGTCTGAAACTCGTGCTGTAATCATTACAGTGTGCATACACGCACGCACACACACACACACACACACACACACA